AAAAGTTAAACAGTAGATATTACTTGATTTGGTGATAGTTAAACAACGTGTGCTGTGAAAAACACTTGAGTTGGTGATCAATTTTTATTTCTGGATCCTCCTTTGATTCTTAATAGATTGCAACAATTAAAGAATTTCAATACTTGATTTGGTGATTAATTGCAATTGTTAATACATAGTTGGAAAAAGTTAAACAGTAGATATTACTTGACTGGTGATTATATGAACTTTGTATACCAATAGAACTATGCTATTATTAGTCCTTGGAAACAAAACAAAAATCGATCCAGTTTATCGAAGACTACAATACCTACATTTAAATAGCTTTCTTACCTTATATATTTCAGATATATATGTTTTTCCATTAAAACTGTATTTGAATACATCTTATTTTGTCAGGTTCGGCTCTAGCTTGAATCGTGCCTTAGGCAAAAACGTACTACTCTTCACCCTAAACAATTTTACGGTTCGTTAACATTTTCTTACGCTGATGGTGCTCCCACATAACATACTATAATGCCTTAGGTGCTACTCTAGGACGCTTATACCAAAAACCCGGTGCTGCTTTTAGGCTATAACATCAAAGATCCCAGATAGTTCAAAAAGTTTATTTAAACATCTTAACGTCAACTTACTTAACATTTTTTATTTTGTTTAATTTAATATATATTTGTGTAAACTTTACCTTTTGAATATTCAGATCAAATTAGATAGTTTCTATGTTCTTGCATACGATTTCGGAGCCGCATAAATTATCTTCTAGTCTCAAAAATCAATTCACTAGCAAAAAATTGCTATATTACTGCTATATGACTCATTGCTTCAAAAAGGTAGCCTTTGATACACCTATATTATGTCCATACCAAAACTTGAAGATACATTTTAGCCATAACTTTCAATATATTAGTAAGTTCACTTATACATTTTAAAATCTAGTTTCTTCACAATTGATATTTTCTCAAACTAAAAGCTAAAATATTACAATATTAACATTTTTAATTCATTAAAAGTATAATTATATATATAAATATAAGATATATATTTTAGCGTCTTAATTAATATTTTATAGATATATNNNTATTTTATAGATATATATATATATATATATATACTCCTGGTATTAATAATTAATGGAGATGTTTAAAAGGGTTTGAAACAAAAGTGAGCCGCTAGAAATTGCTACCAATATTTGGACTAATTAAATAGACGGCAGATTTGGAAAGTTTGAAGCAGAGCCACTTAGGTAATTAAAAGTGTACACGATACCGGATCACACAAACGCGTTAATTCCGTGTCCGCGGAATAGAAATCTCTCTCTACTCTCGGGATGGGCGGAGGTCGAGGGGATTTCTAAGGGTTTTCCGAGGGAGCGAAAGTTGCGTTCCGGGCGCCGTTCTTCAGTTTGACTTTGGATCCGGAACCGGCCGGAATCAGTTCGCAACTAAAAGCTATTATTCAGAAATGAAAACGACTTCATTTTCTTGCCAAATATTTAAACGAGGAGATATATTATTAAGACGCAAAAAGAAACAATCCTGCTGCGTTCGCGATGAGATATTCCCGTAATTGGAAACGCTGCAGAGAGCTGAAACGCCGCAGGCCCATATATTTTCCCTTGCAAGAAAATAATAATAATAATGATGTTGATGACGATGTTTTATTTATTGTAATTGATGGAAGACCAATGATTGCCGTATTCTGTCGTCAGTCGATCATCAATTTGCATCGACAGTTTACTAGCATTTAGATACACAAAGTGGTGCATGCGCCGGGTTAAAAATAAAATCAATATTTGCGGTTACAGCTTTACAACTTCACTATAGTATATACCACTTTTATTTTCTGAATTGAGACTTAGTAAATATTATTTTTCGTATTAATAACAAACATTGCAACAATCATAAAATTACAAACAATCAAAAAATTACATAAAATAATTACAAACAATCAAAATAATAAACCAAAATCTCGTATTCTTTTAGCGGACTGTTTGAAACCGGACTAACCAAAAGATACTTGATTGTATAAAATGAAACGATCATTTGCGTATGAAAACAAATAATTTTTTGTATTAATTTTTGTTATGGAATGTTCATACCGAACTACAGTGGAACTTCGCATAACGAGCATTTCGCTTAACGAGCAAAATGTATTGTTAGAAAAATGAGCGACGTTTTACATAACTAGTGGCGATGACAAGAGAAGTCCCGATGTAGCAATCATTTTTTATACTTGTGTACACATATTATGTGTATTTTTGAATATATTAACCATCTTCGATTTTCTTTGTCATCTCTGTTTAAAGCGAACTATACTTTGCAAAAATAATTTGTGTTTGCTTTAAATGCAAAACACAAATGTATTGTATCCAACCATTATTATAATATATAAATACAAAATGTACGCTTTTTTATATAAACAAATATATAAAGAAACTTCCAACAAGTCCCCGAATTGATACAAGTAATATAAACTCACTTCACCGTGTGTGAATTGGAACACAATTCCCGGTATTAGAGGTCATTCTAGTTGCATCTTAGTGTTGTTTGTGATCACAAAACTTGTGTTAAGACATATTATTTGTATTTTTTTATGCAAATTTGAATAAAGAATAAATAAAGAAATGCAAAATTATTAAAAATTGAGACCAAGTTATACTTCTTTTTCCGGCATTGAACGCATTATCGTAATTTACATTAGTTTATATGGAAAAACGTGTTTCACTATACGAGTATTTTAACATATAATATAGGTTTTGCAGAAATTCTGGAATTTCCCTAATTCTCGTGTTGTGGTAATACTGGAGTTACTTGTATAATTAATTTTATTTGACTTTGTTTTATTTTAGGAAATACGAGCAGTTGCGAGTAAGGGGAGACATAACAAGGTGGAAATACAAAAAAAATGTGAAATGAGAAGATCCTTTTGGATATCCCATGTAATTCCATATAACAAGGATTGTAGGTTATTCAAATAAAATAGACGTAAATCTAAATAATACGCGGCGTGCAATTAGTGGCGTGGGGAAATGCCATTAGCGTATTTTATTTAGTGAATGTATTCCGAGAAAGAAGATCTCAGTTTTCGTAATCCTTGCATATTCAGGTGTGTGTTTTTTTTAATATGTTGCGACACGGCTTTGGCGTCGATGAAAAAATTCTATAATCGAAGAGAATACATCAAAAAGTCGTGTGTCGCTGTTCTTTGCAAATTAACAAATCGAAGGGTGGTTCGTCGAGTGACCGTCAGTGCGCAGGGGTGGCGCTGGTGCGCAGAAGGCGTCAGGACGCTTAGGCCGCCAGTCGGGCCGCAGGAATCGGCGCGTGACTTTGCACAAGGATTGCGTGTAAATATTACCCCTCTGTAAGAAACGCAGCCCCCGTTCACTACGGTTTACAAACAATTTTCAGGGACTCACCCGGATGATGCGATGTGTGACACTGTCAGTTGATGTGCTCTCGTAATTGTTGTGGTGATTGCGTCTCGTGTTGTTCTAAAATTATGGTGTGATCGAGAATTTTGCTTTAACGATGGCTGTATTTTTTAAATTTTTGAGTTGCGTGTCGCTGTTCATGTACGTAGCAAACGGTGAGCCCTCCTCCTCCTCTTCTTCTTCCTCCTCATCATCCTCGTCCGACAGGAGTCCGCTGACATCCAGAACTGTGAGGACAAAATACGGCGATGTGAGCGGCATCATCGTGGCCTTGGATGCAAAACATTTGGAGCCGGTTGAAGTGTTCAGGGGAATACCCTATGCGAGTCCACCGTTGGGCAGTCTCCGGTTCATGCCGCCAGTAACCGGTGCCCTTTGGTCCGGTGTTAAAATTGCGGACAAATTTAGTCCCGTCTGCCCTCAAAGACTACCGGATATACGCAACGAATCGGCGGCTTTGAAAAGAATGCCAAGAGGACGTTTGGAATACCTCAAGCGATTACTACCATACCTGAAGGACCAAAGTGAAGACTGCCTCTACCTCAACATCTACGCACCAGTACAAGGTATTTACATCTAATCAAAACAATACAAATCCTGAATAACCTTAATATAAATACAATTATTACATATGATCTAAATATAATCTAAATAGTATATATATTGTATTGTATACAACTATTATTTATAACATCCACATCTTTAAGTCGCATCTCATGAAATCAATCCAAATCATAAGTAACCCTTCTATATTTATGACTGAATTAACCTATGCATCACTGTAAAGAATTTCAATATCATAAGTGTACATAAATTTCATCTCATTTAAAGATTTACAATTATTACATACAAATGTAAAAAGTATTGTACATCTGACGAATTATCAAATCGGATCAAATTGTCGGATTAACTTTTTCATATTATTACCGAATTGTGATAACTTTATATAATTTAAAGCATGTCAATATCAATATTCTAGTTTTATATAGAATGAAGGAAACTTAATAAGAAATCATCTTCTTATACTTAAATTATGCTATTATATACTTCATTGTATCTAATAGAAATATTACATTTACTCCAAGGCAATTACATAGACTGAACTTTATATATAATTATAATAGTATTATTGTAGAACAGTTCTGTATAACCATAATATTATTACTTGCATTAATATATCAAATGGACTCGTTCTAATAACATGGAAATCATTAAATCATTGCTACATGAACATTTAAAATTTAATTTATTTAATTTATGTTGATTCGACTTTCCAAATAAATACAATTACAAATATAGTACAGACATTAATATAATTGTAGAAGAATTAAGAAGTTCAAGCCACAATAACTAAATCGAGACATTTTGATATAACGCGATTTTAATTAATATTTAATTATAAGTAATGAATTTGTTAAATTATTTGTATTTACTGCAATATTCAATGAAATTAATTAAATAAATTATTCTATTTCCTATACGTGATTTCATACAACGCGTAACGTATTAACCGCGTTATATTCGTGAAGGTTGGTTGCTGAACCAATTGTTAAACACTTCAGCTAAAGCCAACACTTCAGCTTATTATCTTTTTTTCAATAGATCGCTGTAAAAGAAAGTTAAAAATAAAGAATTTCCTTTATTAATCCTATTGATTTAATTTATCTGTGAATCAAAGAACACAAACAAACATATGAATCATTTTATATTATTATTATTACAAATTAATAATTTTGGAAAAAAAGTTATTGTTTTTTTTTATGTACACCAATACACTCACAATATCCCGGACAGTTTGAAACAGGACTAATCGAGAACAACAACAAAAAAAGTGTAATATATATTTTCAAATATATGTGTTTATTATATAAAAAAACACATATATTTCCAATTTTAAATGAAAGTCGTATAAAGTTTATACAGATAAAAACCTAATATTTATTTGTATTTCTTTTAATAGAATTCCTATAAAAAAAAACTGTAAATTTTTAATTAAAATAACAAATAAGACTTGAAAATAATTTAATTCAATTAATCAATATGTCATTAAACTCAAAGTCTTCGGAACGAATTAAACGCAGAAACAGGTATTGAAAACTCTTCCAATCAATGTTTGTAGCTGAACTGAAACAGCGCATACTATTCTCCATCATTGCGCGCACCTTCCAATTTGTAATTATTAATAATTAATCTTGGATACGTCATTATATAACATAGTGTATATATAATTAGTTGTAGATATAATGAGGTAATTCAGATATAATCCATATAACATAAGGTAGTTATAATGATTATGTATATATAGAGATAATTTACTGTTATTTTAATAATTCTTTAAGCCTTCGTTAATTGAGCGACGTTTCGTAACATCGTTACTCGCGTGGCGTCTGACAAACTCCGTTAATTAATTTATATAAATATATAATTGATTAGATTGAAGGAAAATATATTATGTTCAAAACTTGTTTATTTTAGAAAAATGTACAAAAAATATCATTTGTTTCTAATTGTTTATCTTTACCAAATTCTATTGGTAATTTTCGTAAAATCTTTGCATCCGGTTTCTAGATCAAAATTCTATACATCTACTTTGCTTTTAAACTGAACTATAGTGAATCCGGACTGATCGAAGCCGCACTTGCGAGGTATTTGGTAGAATTGGACAGTTTAATATATAAAAATATAATCTCTGTTGTAATTGCAACATCAATTATTTTATTTTTTGTGTTGTTAAATTATGTAATTTGATTAATTAAGGATATGCCGTATGCGGGCGCTCGTTCATTTGTGAATAATTGTCCGTTGATATTTCGGTCCAACGACGGAAAATTCATAAAATATTTTCATTGTTTCAAATTTATGGCTACATCGTTGCGGAACAGTCAATCGTTCAATTAATAATGAATATAATATTTTATTCCATTATGCCAGTATTAATTATAATCGTAAAACTGTGATCCATAATTAAATTGACGCATTCTAGTATTAATTAAACAACGCTCTGCAGAATTTTATGCCAAACAGCATTAATTAATATCCATACATTATTTACGTCATATTATTTCAGGAAATGTAAACATATAACGATCATATTTTACATTTTCTTAATGAGTATACAATCAATATCTTTATTATATTGCTAATTGATTAAATATTTTAACATTCAAATATATAATACATTCATACCTTGATTAAAGAAATTTCTTCGTTAAGCGAAACTTTCTTTTCAGATGTAAACGGCCAGAATTTTACGTCTCTTGTAAAAAAAAATGGAATGAATAAAAAGTCAACTTTCATATAATTTTAAACTCACATTTTGATTTCAAATTTTGGGTCTAAAGTTGATTATTGCAAGAACTTCTTTACTTTCGTCTTCATTTTCTCAAGATTCTTTTAAGAAGTATCAATATTTATGAATATTTGGAGACTTCGTTTTATGAAGCTTTATAATCAGAGTTAACGTTGTGTGATGTATGTCTGTATATGTATATTTTATGTATTTAGAATGGAATTAATAAAAAGTCAACTTTCATATAACTTTAAACTCATATTTTGATTTCAAATTTTGGGTCTAAAATTGATTATTGCAAGAACTTCTTTAATTTTGTCTTCATTTTCTCAAGTTTCTTTCAAGAAGTATTAATATTTACGAACATTTGGAGACTTCGTTTTATGATCAGAGTTAATGTTATGTGATGCATGTCTGTATATGTATATTTTATGTATTTCAATTGAAATTATAGAGAGTCCAATTAAACAGAATTTATGACACACACAAAATTACATTTCACGTGTCAATTGATTCTATTGCAAGTGATTCCAAAATGTACAATATAATATTTCATTAAATATCATTGCGCTTTTGTTAATTAATCATGAGTACGTTGCATTTATTTAGTAAAATGGAGAGAAATCAAGTGGTGATAAAAGTGGACAGACAAAAAGTAATCAAGTACGGATTTCATCGATAATGAAGTTGACAGGATGCTTGATTATTTAATATTTTGTATATAAACCTTTGTATATTAACTTCATTCAATAAATTTATGAAGTAATTATGTATTTTCCATGTAGATAATACATATTTATGTAGTTCTGTAGTTAAATTAAACCTTGTGATTTTTAGTTCAAAGTTATAGATCAAAGGTTTTAAGCGATACACGGCTATGCATATTTTATCAGGAAAATTGATTACTAAAAAAAACCATTAAAGCATCATAATTTCAGAATTTTTAAATTGTGGAACTATGAAAAATATCATATTTGTCGACCCTTCTCCTTTCATGTGTCGAATGTATCTCTAAATTATTATAAAAAATACTTACCTACCAAGACCGGTCAATTTGACCAGTCAAACATTTGTGAAAATGTATTCGTTTTTAATCAGGTATAAGTCTCTGTTAAGATGTAAAAGTATGATAACAAAAATAACTTAGATTAAGTATTTAAGTTGAATTATATATTAATTTCGAATTAGTTTATATTTGTTTTATTAATAGTAAATATACGAAGGAAGATAGTTTGGAAATTATTAGTTGGTTCAATTCTCAAATATGGACATATCTATGGAACGAATATGTTATATTAATGCTAATATAGTGATGTATGATCCATTAGACCAAATTTGCTGGTTTAATCCAATGCTTCATCAACTCTCCACCGCGTACAAGGTTATCACATATGCACATAGTGGGTCCACCCTAAGCAGAGATGGCGATTCACTGGACGACACACCCTTTGAATGTGACGTCCATTTGAAAAGCACGATATTAATGTCTCATCTCACTCAAAGTTTTATTCATGGCATTAGAAATAAAGAACCTTTCCGATTTATTAACCTTTTTTTGTATTACATACAACTTTATTACAAGAATTAATAACCTATAATAATTAATATCCTGTTGATAATTTGAGTTATATTATTTCGATATTACATTTTATTAACATTTTTATTAATTTACAGCAATACCTCGCATAGTGCGGCTTCGATCATTCTAGATCCACTTTGAAATTAAATTAAGCAAAATAATAACAATTTACGGTTTATTTTTGTATATAGTTCCTCGATTAGTCCGGTCTAAGCGAGGTATTGCGAGGTATATTATATCTAGTCCAAAAGAATACTTACGGAAAAGTTCATTTTATGTATCTGAGACAAATTACAAATAGTCTCATTGAAAACTAAATTTATTCCAGATATTGCATAATTCATGTAACATATGCAATAAGGTGAAAGAGCAAAGATTTTACATGTCCTAACTATACAAACCAAGCAAAACTGTGCTCGAAACTCAGATTAAACAATGCTAATTATTTATTAGCATAGGTAATTATTATGTAGAAAGCGTACATAATAAAACCGCGTTTCTCTGTTTAACCCTCCAAAAGTACATACGAAATTGAATGGGGGGAATTCTAAGATCAAAATGATACATCTGGGAGTGCTTTTATTATTATTTGCATTCGTCGGGCAATTCGCGAAATTGTAATAAAGTGTGTTTTGCAACTAGAATTTAATAAATGTTAACACCAAAGGAAATGCAAATTTCTTCAAATAAATGTGCAAATAAATTTAATCCA